TATACTTTGCATGTGTTCATCGGGAAGATTATGAAACAAAATGGACGGTGTGTACCACGTGACTTTCGTAAACCAAGGAGCGGAATGTCGCAACTCTTTATATATATGGCTCTGGAACAGTGGGTTATGTACTGCCCTCTATCGATTACCGAATCGTAAAACGAATCAGAAAAAGACTGTTACCAAAACTGATACCAAAGCCCGAATACAATGAGTTCCTAGAGATTGATACGACGAGGATCGGGAAGCAAATGATTGGTTGCTTTTGGGCTGGTGACTCAAATAATCTTCAAAAAACTGAAGTATTAATGGCTGGTAAGAGATTTATTTTTGTTATTACGTTTATACATATCATAGCAACACTACATCATTTTAATTAAATGAATATTGTTAATATTTATACTGATTTTTGAGATATTTGCCAAGCCATATTGAGATTTGAAGATACCCCATTGGGCATAGCACTAGGTAGGGGCCTAGGCCTAATTTCTAAATTTCTGACTGCCTGGAATCAGGGGAATTCAGGGACTCGGGCCTACAACACTGGCCTTAGACCTATACCTTACAAAACAAGGTTTAGGACTGCCTCTGTTCAATTTTTTTAGGCCATTTTTTTTATTCTTACCTTAGTGATAATGAGTTAACTCGTGGAGACTGCCACTTCTCAATGTTTCCAAGCCATGTGTCGGTCATATAGATAGACTCATACCATGCCATGTCCCCTCAGGCTCTATTCCTCCTGTTTTCGAGTGAACCAGAGAGCACATGATCTATCCTTTGCAGTTAATCCAAAGGTTAGGAACAAGTTTCGTAGCTCGATTTTGGACCTTTTCCAAGGCATTAATGTCCATCTGATAGTGTGGAGACCACACCTGTACAGCATATGCCATTCATTAAGGGTCTGACAAGGGTTTTATAAAGAGGGATAAACATTTGCTTATCCATATAGGTAAATGTTTTTCTAATTCTACAAACCAAAGAATTTCCCATAGCAACAACCTTGATAATATGAGTCGATGGCTTAAGATCTGGAGTAATAATTATTCCAAGATCACGCTGTTCAGTGACAGCTGACAGCTTAACGTACCCCATTGTGTAAGAAAACTTTTGGTTTCTAGAACCAACATGAAGGATGTTACACTTAATCTCATTGAAACTGAGCAACCAGTAGGCTAGTTGAATTGAAGGAAGTGGGAGTCTGCACAAGAAATCTCTGTAGACCTATAATTTGAAAATTATGGTGTCAAAAAACAAAAAGACGACAAAGTGATGAAAAAAAAAAGGATCACCAAAAAAACAGTTTTAAAATTCCCAATTCTGATTGGAGACTTATATACTGTTTTCATTTTTGTCCAAATTCTAATATTTAGTAAATTTTCTGGGTTCTTTCACCGCGACGGCAGACACAGTGCTGCTCCAGTACCGGCATGTAATGGGTACATTGTGCCATATCTTGCCTGACTCTCACATGAGCCGAGTGATCAGACTACAATTAATTAAGTTATCGTACCTTCAGATTTAATATATATGTTATCTTAACATCCAGAAAGTATTGGTTTAAGCAAAGCAGCCAAAAAGAATCAGAAGAGACGAGGAAATAAAGACCCAAGCCTTCTGAGGCAGAATGTAGAGGGTTCTGCTGACTTGATTCAGGACATCAGAGATCAACTAGCAAAAGCAAAAGCAAATAAGGTATATTAAATAAATGTCTTCAATATATTTATCAGTTTTAAAATGCAAGACTTCGTCTTTTCTTTTAAGTGAACAAGTTTTAAAGTATATTTTAAATGTATATTTTTTGTGAATAAATAAAGCTTTTGATTGATAATAATTGATATCTGATGACTGTAGAAATTAAGTGGTGGATAAATGGTTCAGGTGGTATGATTAATGCCAGTTCAAGAAGGTTTTAGAAATCCTTCAAAGTGATAGTTAAGTTTTGGGTAAAGGGCACACCCATCAACAAGGGGACTGATCCTGAAAACAGGTCTTGTTTCTAATTCCTAAATTAGCACGGACGTTCTTCTTAACTCCCCTACAGTACTTCCCAGACCTTTAGGGAATAAAACGATGGATCTGATAGTGGAAATCTATTTACTGTAACTTGTCTGTTTAGTAAAAAGTGGTAAACAGTAAATGCAAAAAGATATCCCGTCATGATGGCATGCATTTCGATATTTGGAGTATGTATTATACTATCTTATCTGAGATTAATCAGTGGACCTTTCGGTTATTGATTTAAATTGAGTATTTTTTTTATTGTTCATATTTTTTGCCAGCCAGGGTTCTCCCAAAGCTGGTTTAGCTACCATTTTTTTCCGGTAAAAAATAACCAGCCAACCAGTAACAATTCTGTGTTGGCAAAAAAGAAAACCAGTGATTAAAGTGAACATCGTTCCAGTCAAGGCCTAGGCTATGACTGTTTGTGCAGCTAATGCCACATGTTTCATGCTTAGCTGATTTTATATGGACAAATACCATGTTTTCAATTGGCAGAAAAAACCTGCCAGTCTTCTTTGTGGTTCACTGTAACTTTTTAAGGCAAAACCCTTATTGTTTGCCATTTGGCACAATTTTATTTTTAATGCCTGCTGAAAACAATGGAATTTAATGAAATGCCTTTTGTACAACTGTTGGCTTTTTGTCTTAACTGCATCTATGGTTCAGAGTTCTTTTGTATTAATAATGCACCTATTTCATTTTTTACTGGAACACATGTGCAACAACCATGAATCATTACTGGTTTTTTTTTAAGTGCAACATAATGTTTTTTATTTATTTTGTACTGTATTTTTAAGTTCCAAGCATCTAGGAAACCAAATTTCATGTTTTGTAGGACCTTGTTTTGTGGTCATGACAGTAATATTTATTTTGTGTTTTATTCTTGTTTTTTTTTTTTTTCAGGACCATTCCCTAGCCAATGAGCTGAGGCAGAAATTATGGATTGCTCAGGATTTAAATGCAGGATATAAGTAAGTTTCAGAGTTTGTACATCAGTAATGGTTTAGTGTATTTTCTACAGTAATGCACCTAACATCTGTCTCTTATACACATCTAGATGTGTATAAGAGACAGTTGTTAGTACTGTGCCCACTTGTGGCAGTACACGGTGGGCCTTGTCCCATTCAACAGTTGTTATGGGTGGGCCAATCCTCCTCTAGACCTACCGATAATTTGCCACAAAATGATTGAATATTTATTTTGACCAAAAAAGGCCGACTTTTGGCGAGGTATGTATTACCAATTGGCTGTTGTTTATCTTGTTGAAGGTATTGTATGACAATACATTATAGTCTTCTGATATTTGATGCTCCACAGACCTGCCATTGACAAGGATGACCATAATGCTCAAAAGTTACTAAGTAAAGTCACTGAAGGACGATTGGAAGTATCAAAGACAACTGAACCGGTACCAGCTCCTGTTACTTCCACTCTTGACGAAGATGAAAGAAAACTGCGTAACCTGCAGAAAAAACTGAAGAAAATTGAGGAGCTGAAGAAAAAAAAGGAAGCTGGAGAGAAACTACAGGATAACCAGGCAAGTGTCTTGGTGACTATTACACGGTTGACATTTATATTAAGCCCTATCCAGATTATAAACTTCAACCAGTGGCGTAACGAAGGGGCCCTTTAGAGGCCACAGGGGCCTGCATTTTTATCATTCTATGTCGTATTTTCATACCTTTGTTACACATTCAAATTGTGTATCGTGATTTGACTCAAAAAAGGCATACTTAATTTTAACTAAGATGGCAGTGGTTGGAGATTTATATAGTTATATGGATATATATATATTGGCGATAGTGATAACGCCCCAATGCCCCAATCACTCAGCAGACTTTGGGTTGGAACAAAAGGGCCTTGGTTATTTTTTTGTAAACAAAAAATATTGGAATTTGCTAGGGGGCCCTTGAGGCGCGTGACCCCTGGCTCAAGCCAGTGAGAGCTCATAGCTGTTATGCCACTGACTTTTACATGTGACATGTCTTAATATACTCATGATGACATCACTTCATGACTATAAAAGGGCATACAATTTTTTTGTCAAAGAAAATTAAAAATGTGAACAGAGCTCAACGCTTCACATTATTTTTCACCTGATCATTGGCGCAACCACCCAGGGTTACTGTATATGGGTTCCCGGTACAAAGTTGCTGCATTTATGTTCTATTATACACACTGCCATGGAGAGCTACCTCATAGTAATTTAGTGTATATTTTTGCCATCATTTCGGGTAGTTGTATTATTCTTTCGATTGTCATGCTTTTGTCGTTTCGCAGTATGTACTTTTCACAAGTTTGTATGTATTTTATTTGATAATATAAGTGAAATAAACAAAAAAAAATTAAAGTATTGGTTGAGTGTCATACAAAAACTGCCTGATTTATTTTCATACCCTATTACTTTCTAATGGCTTAAAAGTTTACTGCTGTCCAATATCAAATTAAAAAAAAAAATGTTTTTAATATATTTCAGCTGAAGAAAATAGAAATGGAAGCAGAATTACTTGAAGAGATCCAGCATTTACAGAAACTAATGTCCATTCCAGTGAAAACATAACATCTGCTGTTGCCATGGCAAATTACCATGGAAAGTAAACAAATTCCAGTTGTATTCAAGATACTGTACTTGTAATGGATTTATTAACCAGTTGTTCTGGAATTGGTCAAAGTTCCTCCATGTACAAAAAAATGACTCCTCTATGACAGAGCAACACACTAAACAGGGATGACGCCAGGATTTGCTCGATGGCGGGGTCTGATGCCTTCAACAAGAGCAAAGTGAGCGTGGTCGGGCATCGCTCAAAATATTAAAAAAGTGGTTTGGGGCGAACCCCCAAAAATGTTTACAATTTAGGGGTTTCAAAGGTTTATTTAATCAATTTTAGAGTACTAATATGTAGAATATACATATAATTTTTTTTTCTCCCGACGGAGCCTGTACCCCATTGTCGCCACCCCTGACACTAAATTTGCAAGGGCAGTAGGTTATATAATTCCTTGCTGCCCATGATTTTGTTCGTCGAACAGTGATACATCCTTCAAGTCCAGACTGAAGAAACACCAGTTTGTGTGTATACCTCTGTTAATGGGGAAGGACAGTTTGTCATTCTAATAACTTAATTATAATAATACAAAGTAATTTAAATATTTTTAGCTCATCGCAAGCGATATAGATTTGTAAAATCAGTAAGCAATGCAACATATTTAAGGATTTCAAATAAAACATCAATTGATATACCTGTAGAGCAAAATGTCATTCATAACAAGCAATGAATGGTTTGAATGTGTAGATTTAAATTCATAAATAGTATTTATCCAACCACTTTTTGCCAATGAATCACATTCCCTGCCTAAGCTGCCTTTATGTTGTATCAGATTTCTCCATTTGCTTCTTTTTTATCCAACCCTGACCATTTTTACATCATTCTGTGCCTCCAGTCTTATGCTAGTGGTTTACCTTTATCATTGCTGAGAATAACTGGAAGGGTGCAGTTAGATCTACCTCGAGTCGGTTTTATTTTATGTGTTTTGTATTTTGTAAAAGTGGAATTGTTGGTGTAGCGTCCCCTATTTTTTTAATTACACATAATGAATAATGTAATTGTAGTACATGTTATTTTTAATTAAAATAAATTGTGGCAAAAACAAGCCAAACCAGTCACTCGTCGCAAATCGTGTTTCAGAGAAAATGGCCAAAACATGCTGGAATGTCAAATTTTTAAAAATTTATTTTATTGCACTAAACTAATCTTTACATATCTATACATCATTCTATGCTGTTATTTTCCCCATTTTCAATGTTAAAACAACACTTTTTAAGGATTTGATGATAGTTTCTGCATGAAAAAAACCTGAAATCATAAACTTTGAAGGCTGATTTCTCATATATTTTTTTGTATGTTTAAACGCTTATAACTTCATAAGGAAATGTCCGATTTCAATGATTTTTTTACCATTTTATAGCTATTACTGTACTTTACTCGCTAACACTGTATTAATAACTCAAAATCGATTTTTGCGACGCGTGACTGGTTTGGCTTGTCTTTGCTTCAATTTCAAATTGTAACACTGTATATTGTCAGACAAAAAGAATTAAAAATGTATCTACATACGAAAATGATATGAGTGATTTGTTTTTATCAGCTTTTCATCAATTAATTGACATAAAATAAAATTAGAAAACGCTATAGAATAAAAAGAAACAAGCCTTTTTTCAGATTTCATTTATTTTACAGTATATATATTATAATTATTTAAACTTATAAGATATTTTACCCATTGTCATGCTTCAATGATTATAAAACTTTTTTTTACACATTTTTACACATGCACAAAAAAGCTAAACTAAGCTACTTCATAGGAAAAATAATTAAAACACTAGACTTACTATGTCTGTACAACAGAACATAGGGCTTTTCCTCATTGCTGTAATGAGAAGTGGTGTTGAATATTTAGTTTGTCTACCTTGTGTAATGCTGTAAGTCGAGGGCAAAAATTATTCATTAGTATTTATTAGTATTAGTATTTAGATACGCTATTCATAGAAAACTATATCATAGCGTTTACAGAGTTGAATAATGATTTGAAGCAATAAGCTCAAGTTAATTTTGAAAAAAGATGTTTTCAGTAGTTTTTTTAAAAAATTCAACATTATTTGTTGTTTTAATAGCTGTAGGGAGTTTATTCCATTCTATGGCTGCTGTTACACTAAAGGAACGATCACCTGATCTGCTATGAACTAAGGGGCATGAAAGGCGAATAGGGTCTGATTCAGAGCGAAGATTTGGTCGTAATGTATGATGAACTTTTAAACAACTACTGAAGTATATTGGTGCTTGATCATTGAAAAATTTAAACACAAATAAAAGAATTTTAAATAAAATGCGTTCTTTGATGGGTAGCCAGTGAAGCGAATTAATCAGTTGTCTGGCATCACTAAGTCTGTCTTCACGATATATGAGACGTGCAGACCAATTCTGAAGACTTTGTAGTTTCCTAATGTGTGCCTGGGTAACCCCTGTAAGGAGACCATTACAATAATCAAGTCTAGAGAGTACATGACTTCTCACTGCATGGTTACATGCGTCTTTAGTAATGTACTTTCTAATCCGTGATACATTTTTCAATTGAAATCGTACAGATTTACTAATATTTTCAATGTGATTTGACATTGACATATTACAATCAAGATAAACACCAAGATTTTTTATAGATGTGGACGGTGATATTTCAGTTGACCCAATGTTAAGAACGATACTGCCCAACTTGTGTAGATTATTTGGTGAATCAATGGCTAAAAATTCCGTTATCTTCATTAAGTTTAAGTTTATTTTTTAACATCCAAGCTTTTATGTCTCCAATGCACGAAGACAGTGTTTGCAGTACCACATTCAGATCATCTGCTTTCCTATGATGAAATGATAAAGCAAGCTGTGTATCATCAGCAAATGCATGATACGAGACACCATAGAATCTGGCAATATCTGCAACTGGCAAAGTGTAAATAGTGTAACCTATAGGCCCAAATACCGATCCCTGTGCCTATTGGCCCAAATACCGATCCCTGTGGTAACCCTACTGTATTACTATCTCTGATTGTGTGCCATTTATTTCTACACAAGTTTTCCAAGTTTCAAGGTATGAACGAAACCACTTTAATGCTACATCTCGAACTCCTAACCTCATGGACAATTCATGTGTTTTTTAGTTTATAATATTTAAAAAAAATATGTAGAATGATGTCATACTTTAATATCAATACAAACCAGTCACTCGTCGCAAATCATGTTTCAGAGAAAATGGCCAAAACATGCTGGAATGTCAAATTTTTAAAAATCTATTTTATTGCATTAAACTAACCTTTATATATCTACACATCATTCTATGCTGTTATTTTCCCCATTTTCAATGTTAAAACAATACTTTTTAAGGATTTAAAGATAGTTTCTTCTTGAGAAATACCTGAAATCATAAACTTTGACGGTTAATTTCTCATATATTGTTCTTTAAACAGCTGTGTGGTTAAACGCTTGTAACTTCATAACGAAATGTCCGATTTGAATGATTTTTTACCATTTTATAGCTATTATTTTACACTCTAACACTGTATTAATAACTCAAAATCGATTTTTGCGACGAGTGACTGGTTTGGCTTGTCTTTGCCACATATGCACTTTGCTTGGACAAAGTTTGAAGAAGATCCAAGCACAGAAAGTCAGGCCCGTAGCCAGCATGCTTCAAGGGGGGGTTCTGGGCGTGGGGTCCAGGGGCCGGCCAAAGGGCCCCAAGTGGGGTCAAGGG